TTTTTTACTTACATATTCTTTTTTTTCCCCTGCATTGTATAGAATGAGAACTGTTTCATGCAGGAACTAGGCGTGGAGAGAATGACAACCAAAGATCTGAACTTTTAAATAAGCACAGAAAATTCATCAAACGCACTCTTTCCGCAACCTTCCAAAGAGCCCCAATCATTCAAGCCTATACGGGGCCGGGATGAGTGGGTATAATGATTCTCATCTTGTGCGATTACCCGAAAGGCCTCCGTCCTTTAACGAACCCCTCCTAAGCGACCACGAATCGGCAAATATTTTCCAGCTATTCGATCCCCCCGAGAGTGGTATCCACGACGGCTCCCTCAACAACACTGAAAGTTTATTCAAACTAGCCTTTCTTGGTTCCAGTCATCACATACCGAACATTAAAGTCCCTATCTCTCGAACGTCCACTCCGGTGAATTGGACCCATAGGGGCAGGGTCCGTCAAGCATGCAAAGGTTGCCATGAAAGGAAGGCCAAATGCAGTGGCCATCGGCCAGCGTGTCGTAGATGTGAAGAGAACGACATTGCCTGCCACTACGGCGATCGGAAGCGAGAGAAGATCGACAAGTACGTGAAGCGGATACTTTAAGCAGCAAATCATCTGCTGACAGGAATCATTAGGCAGCTGAATGATCTGAACGCACGGGTCGATGTTTTGGAAAGACTCATACGTGATATTTACCCTACACTCGACATACAGTCTGCTCAACATGTTGACCGAACTCTCTGTAAAGTGAGTGCAGTGCCCCCTCCCCCAGGCTCCCCGGCCCAGAGGCAAGCTACATTAGCGAATCCTCGCAACGAGTCTTCTCTTTGCCTAACAATACCTAGATCTCAAGCCATGCTGGGGGTTTGTCGAACGTGCCGGAACCAGCAGTAATCTACAATACCCAAGGTCCGCCAGTGGTCACCATTGACTACACAGAAGAAGATTTCAATTGCCGTGGAGAAATACAGGCGCTAGGGTTTGTGGGTGAACACTCGGAGATGGTATGGTTATACAGACTCAAGTGTGCCATCAAGCAAAGTTGTACCACGCCATCTACATCCCAGGAGGACCTCATCAGGTCATCCGTCGCGTCGATGGATTATTACCAAAACGACTGCGAGATAGCAATGCGAGACGAAGTGGATTTATTGGTACGACCGTCGCAGAGCATGGCTGACCAGCTCGTCGACAATTATTTTGAAATTATTCATCCATCATTTCCAATCATTGGGAAGACGACGTTTGTGGGTCAATACCGATCTTTCTATAGAGATCCAACCGCACAACCTGGGAAGCAATGGTTGGCAGTGTTGAACTTGGTATTTGCCACTGCTGCAATGCACATGTCGCTCGTAAAGACGTCCGAGTGCGATAAATACCCACATCTTGTGTATTTTTCAAGGGCGTGGATACTTAGTATGGACAAGGCGGCTTTGCGAGATCATCCCAATCTGCAGCAGGTGCAGGTAGAGGGCTTAGCAGCCTTTTACCTTCTTGCAAGTGGGCAAGTCAACAGGTACTGGTTTCGTGCTCTCGATTTCACTATTCCAAATACTTCCGTACTAATAGCTCTTCTCTTTTAGGTCATGGAAATGTTGTGGTATTGCCATTCGCTCTGCATTGATTATGGGGCTCAATCTTCGCAGTGAGAGCCAAAGTGTTGCCCCGTTGTCGAAGGAAATCAGGTACCGGGTCTGGTGGGCTTTGTATACGCTGGAAACGTCGCTTTCTGTGACGACTGGCCGCCCCCCCAGCACTAGTGAGGTATTCCGCACAACACCGCTTCCTATGCCCTTTCGCGATGAAATCCTGCAGAGAGACCATGTCTTAAAGTACACAAAAGTCCAGCCGGCTCGGAGCTGCCTTATGGCAACGCTGTGTTCCAAGGGGTGTTCAACCTTTAAGGATAGCCTGACCGATGGTGTACCTTTGGATTGCTTGGCGGTCAACAAAAGATCTCCAAATAAATTGACTGCGCTCATGGTGGCGGAAACCCAACAACCAAATGACAATTTATCTCTCCTTTACGGTGCAAACCTCACGGTCTTAATGCGTGAGGCTATTGATAGCGTTTATGCTCCAGGCTCAGCTCATAAGTCATGGTCCGAGATGGAGAGCATGATATCTTCATTGAATGAGAAAGCAGACAACTGGCTCGATACTCTCCCAGCTACATACCAGTTCAAAGAAAAAAGCATAAGTGGAGTCGTGACGCGTCAACATATCAGCCTCGCTCTCCATTTCTACTCGACAAAGCTTTTCATCTTGCAACCTTGCCTTCGCGGACTACTACACAAGACATTGGAAACCTCAGAACGCTCTAGCATGGCCTCTGATACCATGCCGGTCATTTGCATCCAATCTGCATGTCAACTGCTCGACATACTACCTGATGAGCCAGACGTAACCTGGCTGTATAGAGATTGTCCGTGGTGGTGTGCTCTCCACTATATCATGCAGTCTATTACCATCATCTTGACTGAGTGCTTCATCCGTACCAAGCTAGGCAAGACTGATACCATGAGTATCGTGCCAAGATTTAGAAAAGCCAGAGCCTGGCTGAAGGAGATGTCCAAAACAGATGATTCTGCACGGAAAGCCTGGTTTGTTTGCATGGACTTCATCATATGTCACGGATCGGAACTTGGGCTAGATGCCGACGACAGTCTCTAGGGAGATATGCCGCATAAGCTGGTTTACGTCAACCTCTTCATTGACTATTCGAAGGCCACTTGATCAGGACATGCTGTTTGTGGAGAATGTGCATCTTTAAAATTCCAATTCGATAAATTCACGCGGCATAACTTGCCTTGCGCACAGCCAATAGCCAATGATCTGAGTGATTGCTTGATATTTTGTGCGGTAGAAAGGTAGATTCAAGGAAGGAATGTGGTAGTCGGAGTGGAAAGAGTGGGGAGAAATGATGTAAACTTTTCGACATTGCTGTGTCCCCAGTTTTGGTCTGGCTGAATTCTTGCTTATATTCTTTGTCCTGCACGGCTGAACCATACAGTCCGATTGAATTATTTATATATTGCCTCTCATTGATTCATAAATATTTGCAAACGCCTCACGGCTTTCTTATGCTTCCCTTACGGATCAGCTCCCTCTCAATGTCTATTTACACCACCTCCTCATGGCTGGCACCACCACCCTCGTTTTTGGCACTCACATCCTTGTGGCGCTCAATTTCCTCACCAAATACATCCTCGATTTTGTGAGTGTGCCATGGCTTGACATCGGTCTCGAAAAC